ACCAAATAATTAAGATCAGGAAAGAAATCAATAAAATAGAAAAAAAAATACAAAAAAAAAGGAGAAACGTTTCAGGTCTTTTTTTTTTTTTTTTTTTTGTCTTTTGAGACAGGGTCTCCCTGTAGCCCCAGCTGTCCTGGAACTCACTATGTAGACCAGGCTGGCCTCGAATTCACAGAGATACGCCTGCCTCTGCCTCCTGAGTGCTGGGATTAAAGGCAAGTGCCACCACGCCTGCCCCTCAAATTCTTTTAAAAGATAAGAAGACAGATATGCCCTTAGCCAAACTAAGCAAAAGAAGTGGAGAAAGGAAGAGACTCATAAAATTTAGAGATGAAAAAGGAGCCGTTATGAAAGATACCAATGAAATACAGAAAAGCATTAGGACATACTATAAAAATTGATACTCCACTAAATTGGAAAATCTAAAAACATGGATGAATTTCTAGGTGCAGATAATGTAGGAAAGTTAAAACAAGATAAGATAAAATATTTGAAACAGACCTATAATAAACAATGATATTGAAGCATTTTTTTAATCTTCCAGCAAAAATGTATAGCACAAATGGATTCACTGCTGAATTCTATCAGATCTATAAGGAATCTTTCTTAAATGATTCCATAAAATAAAATAAAAATGAATCCTTTCAAATTCATTTTTCAAAAGCCAGTATTACCCTGATACAAAAATCAGATAAATACACAACAATAAAAGAAAATTACAGACCAATCCCTGTGCTTAACATAGATGCAAAATTTCTCAATGAAATATTTGCAACCAAATTCAAGAATATATCAAAATAGTCATTCTTTCTCTCTCTCTCTCTTTTTTTTTTTTTTTTTTTTTTTTTTTTTTTTAAAAACCTTCCCCCCCGGGACCCCAAAGCTGGCCTGGATTCGCTATGGAGACCAGGCTGGCCTTGAACTCAGAGAGATCTGCCTGCCTCTCCCTCCCAAGTGCTGGGATTAAAGGCATGTGCCACCACGCCTTGCACCAAAATGGTCATTCTTTATGTTGAAGTTTGGTACATTCCTAAGATATAGAAATGATTACACACACATATCAATAAACATAATATATACCATAAATTAACCGAATGATGGAAATCACATGATCATTTCAATGGATGAAAAAAAAGCCTTCCACAAGGTTTAACATCCCTTCATGATAAAAGTCATGGAGAGACTAGGGATGGAGAGTATATGACAAATCTATAGCTAACATCATGCTAGATGAAGAAAAAAACCCAAAGCAGTCCCACTAAGATCAAGAAAAAGAGGAGTGTCCACTCTCTCCACTCCCATTCAATATAGTGCCTCAGGTCTGGTTGGAGCAGTAAGACAAGAGAAGAAAATGAAAGGGATACAAATAGGAAAGGAAGGATTCAAAGTATACTGATCTGAAGACAATATAATTCTATAGATTAATGCTATCCCAATCAAAATTCCAACACCATTTTTCACAGAAATAGAAAAACAATCTTAAAAGTCATGTGGAAACACAAAAGACCCCAGATAGCCAAAGCAAGCCTGAGCAAAAAGACCACTGTTGGAAGTATCAGCATACCTGCTTTCAAGTTATACTACAGAGCTATAGTAATAAAACCAGCATGGCACTGTCACAAAGACAGGCAGATGGATCAATGCCCCAAATGCATCTACATTTACCTGATTTATTTTATTTTTATTTTTTCGATATATATTTTTATTGTATTTTGTACTTTTTACATGATACATCTTAACCATGTTTAGACTCCCCCACTCTCCTATTTACAACCCCCTCACCAGATTTCATGCATTCTATCATATATGATACAGCCTGTTGAGTCAAGTTTGTGTTCCCACGTGTCCCTTGGTGTTAGTTCATCCTCTGGAGCCTATTCCAGTCTATCTAGCATCATTCCTTTAAAGAAGATCAACTTTTCCTCACCCAGCAGTATTCAGCTGCCAATAATTCCTCAGCTAAGGTTAGGGCCTCCTTCCCATTTCCCCAGTTCTATGCTCCTTCCCATTTCCTCATTTTTTGTCTGGTTTGAGTTTACATGAGCCTTGTGCATGCTGTCACCATTGCTTTAAGTTCATATGAGTAAGTTCCCAGAAGCCTGGAAAATTCTGTTTCTTGGTGGTTATCCACCATGCCTGCTTCTTAAAATCTTTCTGCCCCCTTTTCCACAATGGTCCCTGAGCCATGAGTGAGTGAGTTTTAATATAGGAGTCCTATCCAGGGACATGCATTCTGCAATTGCTTATTCTTTACACTTTATCCAGTTGTGTGCTGCTGTATTAATTGCCCTCTGTTGCATGAGGGAGTTTTGCTGGTGAGAGTTAAGAAATACATTATGATTCTCTCTACCCCCTTGTTCCACTATGTTCTATGAGACTTAAATGTAGATGTCTTGTTGTAGATATGTCACTTAGGGCTGAGCATCTCACAGACACTTATTCTCTATGTGAGACTAGTTGTGGACCTCTGTAAATGGAAGCTTCTTTGATTAGTGGTGACAGGTATATTTGTTTGTAAATATAAGGATCTATATTTAGCATACACTAAGAAATTACATTTGTCTAGGGTTTTCACAATAGTTAAGAAATGCAAACAACCTAAATGTCCCTCAACTGAAGAATGAATTATGAAAATGTGGTACTATAATGGAGTGCTACTCAGCAGTAAAGAAAGACAAAATCATGAAATTTGCAGGTAAATGGATGGAATTAGAAGCTGTTATACTAAGTGAAGTAACAAAGTCAGAAAAACAAGTGTGGTATGTTCTCTTTCATTTGTGGTTCATAACACCAAATCCTTATATATGAATATATATCCTGATGTAACCACAGGAACCATGAAAATGGAAAAAAGGGAATGAAGAGGTCCGAGAGAGAAGAGTAGGAGACAGGTGTTATCAAGCAGAAAAATGAGTCAAATTGAGGTATTTAACTGGGAAGGGAGAAGGGAAGGTTAACCAAGGAATCATTGGGGTAAAGGGGAAGAAGGAGCTCAAGAGAGGGGTCATAATAGGAGACAGGTATTATCAAGGGATAAATGTGAAAAATAGGGGTACTTTAATTGGAGAGGGAGGAGGGAGGATTAGACAGGGAAAGAGAGGAAAAATAAATAATATTCAAGTGGTATGAAAGTCAGAGAGAAACATATTAGGTCAAAAGCCTACTGAAAAAAATATACATGAAGTATCTGTACATGAGTGCATGTGTATAGCTGAAGGCTATACAACAAGAAACACCGTGCCAGACAGGAGAAACCTCTTCTTTGAGCTGTTGGTCAAGGCAGTCCAGGAGACTCCAAAAATGACACAGGCTCTTCCCACAGCCCTTGATTACCTCCCAGAACTTGAAGGTAAGACTCTGTTGCTGAAGACAGGACATAGTTCAGACATAGGACTTGGAGCAATGCAGCTGGAACTGACCTCCTCCCTGAAAACTCTCTCTCTTAGTTTCATAGGCTACTATGCAAGGTGTTAAAGGAGAAAAATCAATGGTCCAACCCCAACTTTAAAGCCAAATAACCACAACAATGTCTAGCACAGAAAACGATCTCTATCCGTGCAATGGGGACATTTTTATCTTTGGGGTAATCAACAGATAGCTAGTTGGACTTAAAGTCTTCTCAATGGGAGAGAACTCATGTGTGGTACTGTAAACATATCCAAATACACATGGCTGGAGATGTGATGGATCCTAGAGAAAACCCTACACCTGTCATATCCACCTGATTTTTGAGAAAGATTCCAAAAATTAACATTGGAGAAGACAGCTTCTTCAACAAATGATACTGAGGGGGACTGGAGAGAAGGCTCAGCAGTTAAGAGCACTGGCTGCTCTTGCAGAGGATCCAGGTTCAGTTCCCAGCACCCACATGGCAGTTAACAGCCATCCGTAACTCCAGTTCCAGGAGATCTTGTGCCTTCTTCTTACCTCTGTGGGCATTGCATGACATGGGTGCACTTGCACACATGCAGGCAATACACTCATATACATACAAAATAAATAAAATGAAATGATGCTGAGAAAATAGAATAACCATATGTAGAAGAATGAAACTAGATCCTTATCTCTCACCCTGCATAAAATAAACTCTAAATGTATCAAAAGCCCTTAACCTAAGTCCTGTAACTCTGAAACTGCTAGAGGGGAAAAATAGGGAAAACACTTCAAGACATAAGCATAGGTAAGGACTTTCTGAATAGGACTCCATTAGATCAGCATATAACACAATCAGTTGACAGACAGAACCTCATAAAACTGAAAAGCTACACAGCAAAAAAATAAATTCAGTAGAAAGACTGCCTACTGCCTACAAGATGGGAGAAAACCTTTGTCAGCTCTACATTTGACAGAGATAGGTTTTATGTTATATATTTTTAATATTAAAATGTGAAGTGAAATTGTATCAGTGCTTTATTCCAAATGTCAAGAAGATCATCTTCAAAATATCCAGGATTCTAAGTCATGAAAATCACAGGCACATGATCTTAGGTTCACTTATAAAAACTGCCCCACTTTCATCACAGCCCTGTCCTCCTGCAGCCACATTCTGCACCCGGAGATCACTTCCCCTCCCTTGAACAGGCTGCCAGGGTCTTGATACATCAGGTGAAGTCCACTCAAACTCCCTGTTCCAGGTAACTCCACTTTCAAAGGATAAATCTGACCAGGAACATTAACTATTCTACAGGAACCATCACCCTCTGTCCCACCTGACTTTGTCCTGAGCCCCTCACCTCTATACTTCTCCCCTATTTCCCTCCGTCCCTCTTTTGTACTCCCTTGAACTGGCCAAATTTCCTTAAATACTTTTCTTTGCCACTTGTCACAACACTTTTCCCTCTAATTCTCATCCCATGTCTGGTTTCTCTCTTTGATTTTCACATTCTTTTAAAGCTAGCACTGGTCATTGGAAGCCTAGCGTTCCAGAGCCTGGACTCACAGGAGAGGTTTAAAGGTCCCCATGATTGAGAGCTGACTCTGATATTGCCCCAGCTGCCTGAGGCTAATCATTAACTCTGTGTTTATATAAAGAATGGTCCACATTTGCAATGGGGACAACACTACCTACAACCATGGCCAGCACAGTGAGCTCCAACACCATCACAGGAGACTCAGAACTGTCTTCATTGTCAGGAAACATCCAAAATGCTGCTGACATCTCTGTCATTGTCATCTATTTTGTGGTGGTGATGGCTGTCGGAGTATGGGTATGTGAGAGCCCAATAAAATGTCAGGGTGGGCACCAACATTGCAAGGGAGAGTGTCTTATTGTGGAAGATGTGTGAAATGACAAATTGAGATATTAATAATTCTACAGATATCATTACCTTTCTGTCTGAATCATATCATTGTTTGTGACATAGATAATGTTTGCCTTGAATTTATCCATCCAGCAATGTCATCATTTGAACAGACAGAACTCAGGGCTACAGACTTGCTGTTTGGCATGTCCAACACCTAGCACAATGGACACAAATGTCATTTTTATTATTTCATTTCAATTACTTTCCTTTGTTAACTAAGTTTCTGGCTATGTAAGTCATTTGTGTTTCCTTTATTCTTTCTTTTTAGTAACAAGTTAGAGCTGTTTCTTCCACAGACAGCTTTAGTGATATGTAACAATGTAAAATATGTTTTTCAAACATGATTTTTGAGTCTATTAAAAGTTGTTGTTGTAGCTGGGTGTGGTGGCACATGCCTTTAATCCAAGCACTTGAGAGGCAGAGGCAAGTAGATCTCTGTGAGTTCAAGGCCAGCCTGGTCTACATACATGGTGAGTTCCAGGCCAGCTGGGGCTACATTGGGTAACCCTGTCTCAAAAAGAACCCCCCAAAATTGATGCTGTATCACACTATCTATAAAAACGTGTCTCTATAGGAGTGCTAAAATATTAATGTCAGCACGCTGGCCAGAGCAGCTGGGGTGTCTTGCCAATCTTGGGTTCACCTGCTGTTTTCTGATCTTGTATTTCCTCAGGCGATGCTGAAGACCAACCGAAACACTGTTGGAGGTTTCTTCCTGGCTGGTCGAGATATGACCTGGTGGCCAGTAAGTAGGCCAGGGTTTCCTGGAGATAAACATTGAAAAATTGTGGGAGGGGTACTCTTTATAAATCCTCTTCTTCAAAGCTGTCACCTAGAATTCCAGAAAGATTATGGAGTATAGCCAATAGTCAATCACATAGAATTCCAGAAATATTACAGAGTATGGCTTTAGTCTGGCATTTGGAGACCCCTCCCCCACTTCAGTTCTGCTCATGTTTTCTTGGTTCCCATGAAGAGCCTTCTTGGCTTCTTAGCTCCGCATGGCCCTTCTCTGCTCCCGACCCTGAACTAGGCTCCTCTTTTTGAGACTAGCTTTTCTTCTTTGCCTACCCACCTCAATGTCAGCTGGCTCTCGGTCCCTTCCAGTCTTGCTCCGAGTCTACATGTTCTGCTCTACACTCTTACTAAGGGCAGGTTGTGCTCACTGGGATGGTGTTTATAGTGAGTGGTCCTACTGTTTTCTTCTGGGTTTTGATGTATGGTCTCCTCAGACATACTTTTCGTTCAGTAAAGGCAGCATATTTTTCTATGAATCTGGAGAGTGTCAGAGTTGAGTTAGTTACAGTTGGTACTCAGAAAATGCTTCCTTCAGCAGATCTTCTGACTTGTCTAAATAGAATAAAAAGAAATGAAAACTTGCAACAAGCCCGGCAGGGATGATTGGAACAGATTTACTTGGGACACGCAATCAATCAGACATCATCTTCCTACTATTGTTATTGTGAAACACGTAAATCTCAACCAATCCCACAGTCACAAACCAGCTCCTTATCTCCCCTAGCCCAGCCCGAATGTCTGCATTCAAAAAGTGATTTTACAGTGGAAAATAAAGTAGAGTCAGAGAGAGCCCTGCAGGGTCTCACCCCAATTCTGCCCGTGACTGATACTGACTTCTCTGCTCATTGAAGAAAGCACTCTTCATCTTTGAATCTTAAGAACTGAAGGCAGTGTGATGGATGAGAACAGGGTCCTGTGGCTAGAAAGAAAGAAAAACAAATCCCTCTGATTCAATTTAATAGTCTGCTATTAAGAGTCAAGTACCAGCCAGGCATAGTGGTACATACCTTTAATCCCAGCACTCGGGAGGCAGAGACAGGTGGATCTCTGTGAGATTGGGGCCAGCCTGGTGGTCTACATAGTGAGTTCAAGGCTATCTGTGGCTACAGAGAGACCCTGTCTCAAAAAGTTTTTTTTTTTTAAAGTCAAGTGCTAATAAGTCTGGCAGAACACATGGGTAGATACGCTGACATTCCCCTAAGACAAGATTCACCAAGTTTTTCTATACAAGGCCCAATTGCAAGTATTTTATGATTTACAGACAATAGTCTGTTACAACCACACAGCTCTGCCATTGTAACCCCAAAGAACCCTTAATCAGAATGCTATGGTGTATGAAATTCATGGCTGAGTTTCAAGAGGAGTATTAGAGATACTAAATTTTAAATTTCGCTGAATTGCAAATTTTCACATTTTACAAAATACTAAAATTTTTTTGGTCTTTTTTGAGATAGGGTCTCTCAAGTAGCCCCAGCTGGCCTGGAACTCACTGTGTAGACCAGGCTGGCCTTGAACTCACAGAGATCCACCTGCCTCTGCCTCCCGGATAGTGGGATTAAAGGTATGTTCTACCACACCCAGCAAAATATTAGATTTTTTAAACCATTTTTAACTACTCAAAATATGAAAAATGTTCTTAGCTTATGGGTCACAGAAAAAACTGGTAACAGGCTAGATTTTGCCCATGCACAATAGTTTGCTGGCTTTTGTTCTAAGAAGTAGATTGGATTAGCCTCAATATCTATTCATTTCCAAGAAGTTTTATTTAGATCTTTAAAAATCTAATCTTAGTTGGTCTCTTGCACTGCAGATGGGAGCCTCTCTCTTTGCCAGTAACATCGGCAGTGGCCACTTTGTGGGCCTGGCTGGGACGGGGGCAGCTTCAGGAATTGCCGTTACAGCATTTGAATCACATGTAAGTGACATCAAATACTTTTTTCTTTTAAGCCAAATCCATGTTGGGATATTTTAATTGAAATGTTCTCCCAGATTGTCTGGGAGTCTGTATCCGATGTATTCCTTTTGTTTCAGTTTTTATTCTTGCTTCCACCCGTCCACTTTCTGTTTGCCTTTAAGTACTTCTGTAGCCCCATTGTGCTTGGGCCGGTTGGTCACATTATTACTGACCTCTGAGCTTTTTCTCAGGCAGTTATTCCTACCAGGATATCACCTTGTACAGCCCAATTCCCACTGTCACTTGGCCCCTGTGACTATTTGAGCTCTTCTTTTCATGTCTCTTCTCTGAGTTAGAACACTGTATGCCCATCCCTAATCTGAAAACAACACTTAAAATAAAAGGAAGGGAGCTGGGGAGGTGGCTCAGTGATTAACATGCTCACTGCACATGTAAAAGAACCAAAGTTCAGTTCCCCAGAACCCACATGTGAACACTCGGCAGACACAAAGGCCCACTTGTAATTCTCAGAAGGAGGAGACAAGGGATTCCCCAAGCAAGCTGGCTCGTGAGATTAGCAGTATCAGCAGGTTTGGGGTTTGTTCGGAGACCCTACCTCAAAGAGTAAGGTGCAAGAGTGATTTTAAAAGATCCCTGACATCAGAATGACAGAGTATATGGGCTCCAGTGGGGGCAGTGGATATGGAGGGTGCCATTTGGAATGCGGGTATAAAGATGAATAAGATTGTTTGGGATATTCTATATGAAATACATACTAAAATATCAATAAATTTAAAAAATGAAAAAAAAGATCCCTGACATCAACCTGAGGTCTCCACATGCATGTGCACACACTTACATACATATGAACATGCATACACACATGCATACATAGCACAGACACATTAAAAAAATCAATAAGTAAAGAGCCATGCCTCCTTATTTGAGAAGTTTATATTCAAGTAGAAAAAAACAAATATGCAATAACTATCATGCGAAAAGTGCAAAGAAGCCTTTGTGGTGTTCAAAGATCACACAGGAGGATCGTCCATCATGACAATGGTAGGATGGATAGAAACTGTTCAAGTGACCTTGACCAAGCCACTAACAGCGCAGTAAGGAGTGAATGTTTTGTGAGATAGCAGGTAAGACTTTACAACTGAGCTCAGAAGCTGTGTCCTTTCACTGGACCCTAAGTTCTTAAGGACAAGGAATGCACCGTCTCTTCCACACGTACCACTCTGTCACCTAGCACACCTGGGCATGTAGCAGGAGTGTCATAAAGTTTGTGAATAGCCTGAAGTTTTTCTGTTCCCCACAGTGCATGTGTGGAGATCAGAGAATGACTTCCAGTTGGTTCTTTCCACTGTGGGTTCTCAAGAGCAAACTCAGGTTGTCAGGCTTGCACAGCAAGTGCTTTTACCCACTGAGCATCGCCCCCTAACTTACCCTTTCTAATGTTTTTGTGTATGTGTATATTAGTGAGAGGAAAAATGTTGGACCATGAAACTGTAAACAAACCATCCCTAGGTGGACACCTTAAGTCATCATAAATGCTTTTGCCTTCCCAATGTTGAAGGTTTTATTTTCTTTTTTTTTTTTAATGTGTGTGTGTTTTGTCTGTGTGTAAGTGCATCCTTATGTGCAATGCCTGCAGAAGTCAGAAGAGGGCATCAGATCCCCCTGAAACTGGAGCTACGGATGGTTGTTAGCCACCATGTGGATGCTGGGAACCAAACCTGGGTCCTCTGCAGAAGCAGCCAATGCTTTTAACCACTGAGTCATCCCTCCAGCCCTGGGTTTTGTTTTGTTTTTTAATTACTTTTAGCTGCTTTTGCCTCAGAAGTATCAGGGACTCCAATATACATCCAGTCATTGGCCAGACATGCCTTGTGGCCTGAAATTTGTTTTGACAGTACCGCGAACCCCGCAAGTGAAGGCAGCTTCTAGAGGCATGACAAAACTGACCCATGACCTCATGAGTATCACTATTGGGCTACTCTTTATTTGATTACTCTGCCCTTTTAATTTTTGACCTTGAGCTTCCTTAATCTCTATGAAGCTCAAGTTCCACCTACTTAAGCCAGTGATAACGATGCTTATTATGCCTGCTTCAGTAGCTGCTGTAAAACAGTGAGTGTACTCTGTGGAGACTGTAAATTCACATCTTAATTCCATATTATATTTTTATCATTATTATATTTGGCAAGACTTACAGGAACTGGGAAGTTCTTCCCATCCCAAATTTCCTTCTCACTGCTTTAACACTCTTATCATTCAAGATCATTGCTTTTGACAACGGTTATCAGCTGGGCTCAAATCTCTTTATCTTCTGGTTGGTTTGACACATATCTTTGGTTTCATTCATTCTAAGCCCTGAAGAGCGATGGTCTCTGAATCATAGACACAGAGGTAAAGGATCCACTGTTGTCTGGATATCATGATTGTTGGATTGGACAGGAGCTAAGAAAACTATTTTTTTAGTTTTCAGACTCAGAAGTCATAGAATTATAAGATCCACAGTCACTAACTTTCTGTTGTTCTTGGTCTGTTGCAGTCCTTTCTGTTACTGCTGGTTCTGGGTTGGTTTTTTGTCCCCATCTACATCAAGGCAGGGGTGAGTATCTGTTCTAGGAAAAACCTTCAAATGTATCTGTCATACATTCGTTAATTCAGTTGTTGTCTCTGTTCTATCATGAAACCTGGGCACTTGACCCTCATCAGCCCTACTGCTAAGAATATACAGGTGACAAAAATCAATTGCTTGCCCAGAAGGTCTCCCAGTATAGAATGTGACTATAGTCAAGAAAAAAATCAGTGGTAGGCCTGCATGATGACTGTGGTGTTAGACCTCAGCCTGATATGGAACCCTAAAGCTAGGCTCACCCTTGTACTTCAAGAAAAGCTTTTCAGAGGTGATCTGGCTTATGTCTTAAGAGATGAGATTCGGCTCCCTCAGGTGGAAAAGCTGGAGGATGGGATGTCAGTGAAATCAATACACAGAAACTGAAAATCTTCCTTATTTAGAATATTTGGAGGTCAGGTAAAATAAGGTGAAAACAAAGTCTATGGAACAAGGGTGATGAGTAGTAGTGCTGCCTATAGGCACATGTGGGTTCAGTCATGAATCTTCATGTGTGTCCTTCCCCTGGAAGAGGACTGGGGCCAGTGGAAGAGTTGGTAATGGACCAGCGTTAACCAAAGTATAACATATACTTGTGTAAAAATATCACGAAACCCATTGTTTTGTATAATTAAAATATGCTAATAAAAATATAATGATATGTTACTATATGACTAGTGTAATAGCTAAAAATTTCTAAATGATGGTACTGTTAAAAAATGTGTCCTAAGGCTGGAGACATGGCTCAGTGGTTAAGTGCACTGACTGCTCTTGCAGAGGACCCGGGTTTGGTTCCCAGCACCCACTTGGTGGGTAACAACCATCCATAACTCCAGTTCCAGGGGATCCAATGCCCCATTCTGACCTCAGTGGGCACTGCATGACATGAGTGCACTTACATACATGCAGGCAATAGACACATACACATAAAATAAAAATAATAAATATTTTTTAAAAGGTGTCCTAGGCAGATGTGGTGCTGCATGCCTTTAATCCCAACATTTGGAAGGCAGAGGTGGGCGAATGTCTGTGAGACTGAGGCCAGCCTGGTTCACTTAGGGAGTTCCAGACCTGCTGGAGCTACAAGGAGATCCCGTCTCAAAAACAAAGTGTCCTGAGCTCATCAGGTAAAGGCACTTGCTGCCAAACCTGACCACATGAATTCAATCCCAAAGACCCAGGTAATAGAAGAAAAAGCCAATTCCTAAAAGCTTTCCCCTGACTGCCTCATGCACACTGTGGCCCATGAGTACATGTGCACACCCAGAGATGAGTAAGTAAATGTAATAAAATTTTAAATGCAGAACTTTCAAGCACTCAAGGGTTATGATCAGAGTCCCATTTTCTGAAGTTTTACCCAGACATCCGAGTGGACAATGGACTTGAACAAAAGTTCATGCAATCTTGGAGATAGCTTAGTCAGTAAAGTGCTTGCCATGCAAACATGATAATAACCTGAGTTTGATCTCTAACACTCACATAAAATCTGACCATGATGGCACATTCACCCCAGCCCTGAAGAGGCAGAGACAGGCAGAAGCCTGGGGTTCACTGGTTAGCCATCTGAACCTAATCAGTAAGTTCCGGGCTGGGACAAGACACTGTCTCAAAAACACAAGGTAGAGAGTGCTTAAGAAATAATACCTGAGGTTGCCCTCTGGCCTCAACATGGACACACACACACACACACACACACACACACACACACACGCACACACACACACACACACACGCACACACACACACACACACACACACACACACATGCACGCACACACGTACATACACACAAATACAAACGTTTATGCAGTCTTGGCTGAGTATGGTGGTGTATGCCTATAATCCCAGAATTTAAGTGGCATGGGCAAAAGGTTCAGGACTTCAGCATTAAGTCTAAGGCTAGCCTGGGCTACACCAGCTCTAGTGAGGGCCTGATCATGTATCACATTACATATTATGGGACACATACAAAAGAGGAAACCACACTTGCTTTACAATATTTCACCCCATGGAATCTACCTGGGCCCCTCAAGGAAAGCATTAGTCTCTCCTACAGACCTAATAACCATCTCGTAAAGGCCACACCACCACACCACCATTACAATGGAGACCAAACATCCAGAACATGACCTTTTAAGGGATAAATATTATCCATACTGACTATAGCAGATTCCTTCCTTCTCTACTGGCCTTTAGTTCCACACAGCAAGTTCATCTCAATCTTCGGCTCACAGCACAGTGTTATTTGAAGTTTACCCACAGCATCTCTTTCATCTTTCATGCCTATGATCTCAGCACTTGCATGACAGAGGCAAGAGGATTGATAAGAGTTGGAGATCATCCAGGGATATATAGTGAGACCATGTCATTTAAAACCAAATCTTCTCCCTGCATCCCACGAGTGTCCACTTGAATGTGCTTAATGTATGATTAGATCATTGTTTCCTTGAAAATTACAGTAGTATTCTGTGTATCTGTGTACATGTAAATATATATTTAACTTACATAAATGCTAATCTGCTTTAGATTTTATTCTAGGCTTTGTATACTCCATGTGGATTTGATTTTTAAAACTCAATACTTGGGTATTCATGTCCAGTTTACTTTCCTCTGGGTGATGCTCATTGGCTGCCCCACTGATAAACCCCTAGGTTGCTTGCCATTCTCCAGCACCACAATGGGCACCACAAGGAAATTTTGAAGGAGGCATGATGAAAATGAATTCTGATCTAAATTTCTTAAGAGAATAGTTTTTATGTATATTTTATTAATTTTTTGTGCATTCCATACAAAACATCTTAATCATCTTTACATGCCCTCCCCCATTTGGACTCCCCATAGCCCACCTCACCAGATTTAATGCATTGTCATATGTGTTAAGGCCTAGCAAGTCAAGTTAGTGTACCCAGATATCCCTCAGTGCAAGTTCATCCACTGAGGTCTATCTACAGTCTCTCCCTTAAAGAAGATCAACTCTCCCTCACCCAACAGTACTCAGCTGCCTACAGTTCTTCAGCTAAGGTTGGGGACTGCTGCCCATTTCCACAGTTCTGTGATGGGTTTTTGTGTGATTAAGTTTGCATGTGTCTTGTGCATGCTGTCATCATTGCTGTAGGTTCATATGAACAAAGTCCCAGGAGCCCATAAGACTGTTTCCTTATGGTCATGCACCTCCTCCTTTGCCTCTTACAGTCTTTCTGCCCCCCTCTTCTGCAATGGTCCCTGAGCTTTGAGTAAATGGAGTTTAATATAGGAGTCCTGTCCAGGGACCCACACTCTGCAGATTCTTATTCTCTGCGTTTTCACCATTTGTGGCCTTTTGTGTTCATGGCCCTCTGTTGCATGAGGGAGCTTCATTGATGAGGGTTGAGAGATGAATTAGTGTTCCCTCTACCCCTTATTCCACTATATTTCATGAGTCTTAGGTGTAGAGATCCCATTGTAGATATGTCACTTAGGTTTGAGTATCTCACAGACATATTCTCTGTGTGTGACCAGTTGCGGAATTCTGTAATAGCCTCTGCCTGTTGCTAAAGAAGCTTCTTCGGTGAGTGATGACTGGCATACTTGCCTGTAAATATAAGGATCCATATTTATTATAAAGAAATTACATTTGTCTAGGGATGTGATAGCCTTGGGGTTTTGTCTAAGATCTATGACCTCTGCCACCCATGTGTATTTAGCTATGTTTACAGTACCATATATGAGTTCCTTCCCATTGAGTAGGCTTTAAGCCCAATTAAGTAGCTATTGAGTAAATCCAAGATAAAAATGCCACGACTGCACTGATAGAGTTTGCTGTGCCAATCATTGTTGTGGTTATTAGGCCTTGAAGTTGGAGTTAGACCATCAATTAGTGTTCTCCCTTAGCAGCTTGCATAGTGTCCTCCAAAACTATGAGAGCTAGCCTTCAGGGATGTGCTTCTAGATCAGTTCCAGCTCCATTGCTCCAAGTCCTGTGTCTGAAGTATGTCCTGTCTTCAGTGATAGAGTCTTATCTTCAAGTTCTGAGAGGCAATCAAGGGCTGTGGCAGTGGCCTGTGTAATTTTGGGAGTCTCTTGGACCATCCTGGTCAACAACTCAAAGGGAGGTTCCTCCTGTCTGACACTGTTTCTTGTTATGTAGCCTTCAGCTATACACACGAACTCATGTAGAGATATTGTATGTGATTTTTCAGTAAGCTTTTGAACTAATACATTTCCCCCTGGTTTTTCATACCAGCTAAGCATTATTTATCTCTCCTCTCTCTCCCTGTCTAACTCTCCTTCTTCTCCCCACCCCCCAGTTAAAGTACTCATATTTTCCCCCATTTTGCCCTTGATAATACCTGTCTTCTATGAGTCCCCCCTCTCTTGAGCTCCTTCTTCCCCTTTGCCTCCATGGTTCCTTTTATAACCCTTCCTCTTCCCCTCCCAGTTAAATACCCCTATTTTACCCATTAAACCCACTATTAGCAACATCTATCTAATAGCCTTTGTCCTTAGATTCTAAGCTACATTTATATAAATCTAAGAGCTATTAGATTGCTGTTGAGAATGGCCACAGTCAGCCACTGTCTTGATGATCATTATTGTCCTAAGGTTCCCATTCTGCCACAGCTTCATCAACACATAATTTTCACCATCCCAACAATAGCAATCTCCTTTATTAATCAGGGTCAGGATGCACTACAGTTACTGTGGCTCCTCTACAAACCAACGCTGCTGACCAACTAAGGCACTGCTCTGTGTGTGACCCTGGTTACCACATTTCTCCACTCTGTCACTGGTGCTTAGAGCATGGGGTGACACCTGGGATGAGGGTGCTCTGGGGCCAACTTATGGGTATTACCTTGGAGGTCACCATATATTTATCAGTTGCTCATTCAAGTCCTTTCTAGTTCCAGGCTTAAACAAGCTCTGCTGAAAAGATGCTGTCATTGGCTCAAAGCTCACACCGCAAAACACATGTTACGTGTTCTTGGCTGTGACTTGGGTCCCTCAAGGGTCGCACTCGTTTGGTGGTCTACGAAGAGTTCCGCTTCTTGTTTTTGAAAAAAGCTGCGTGGCACACACACACACACACACACACACACACACACACACACACATGTGAGCACGCCGTGTGTGTGTGTGTGTGTGTGTGTGTGTATGTATGTTTATTAACAAATTTTTATATTGGAGGAGACTAGGACTTAATATAATTCATCTTCAATAAATGTAATTATATAAATAAATGCTCCAGTGTATATCTATACTATCCTCAATTATCAATGTATTATGTAATTACATTGCAATTTATTATTTACAAATGTTATTTTGACCGTACTACAGCATCACCAATATAAATAATAGAAAGTATTTGTTGTGTGTCAGCCAGGTATTTGGTGATGCTGTAGGCACATTACCTCTACTTCTACATGAAATCTTCTCTTTGAGAAAATGGAAATTCAGAGACTGTCCTTTGCCAAAAGTCCTAAGATGTAGTAAATAGAGCCTGGAAGAGCTGCCAAGTTTGTCATTCTGTCTCCAGTGCCAAGTTCATTCCAGTCTTGCCACTCTAGCAAGGCGCTGTGCCTCCCTCACATCTGGCCACCCCAAGACGCCGTGCACAGCGCTTCACTGCCTGCAGTTGTTTAGAAAATCTCGATGAATCTGAACGCACTGGGCTCTGGAGTGAAACCCTGTTGATGTCTGTCTCTGCAGGTGATGACCATGCCAGAATACCTCAGAAAGCGGTTTGGTGGGAAGCGACTCCAGATCTACCTCTCCATCCTCTCCCTCTTCATCTGTGTGGTTTTGACAATCTCAGTGAGTTCAGGGCCTCCGGCATTGTCGTTTCCAAAGTTTGCCTATTGGGGCAGCTGCTAAAATCAGAAATTGATGTGTATAGAATGACAAGGCATTAGCACATTAGCAGGGTCAAATCTGAGGATGCCTTAACCTCCTTGGGGGTCTCTCTGCAAAGTCTTAAGCAGGGAAAAGATGCTCAGAAGATCCACAGACCTAGAGTAGCAGACTTTCAAGTCATGAGAGTCCCAAGAGGGATCAGATTAGATCCCTCTAATCTGAAAGCGTTCAGTCTGTGAAAAAGCAGCTGTGCAGAAGGGGCAAATGTCAGTCACTAAAGTAATAACGGCTACTTCCCAACAAAAAGGGAAGATCCCCTGGGCTTCTGCCTTTTCCACCATCCAATAACTCCCTTATATTTTCTCAGAGCAAGCCCAGATTCATGTTTTCATTTTCAATTTAATTATCAAACACCTGATCCAAAACGGAAGTACTTTGTATTAGTATACTGACTCTTCTTAAGCTTACCCTATCTTATCAAAGACTACCCTTTAAAATAAGCATCATAAACTGCTTCTGAAATAATTACTCCTTGGAGATAATCAATGACAAAAGAAGACATGAATTTGAAGTTTGAGCAGCATGTGAGGAAAGCAAGGAAAGAATAACTTTTTATCCTTATGTATCAATGGAAAATCTCTGCAGGTTTATAGTCCAGGCACATGTCTCCATGTTTATGATAGAAATTTGTCAGCCTCTTTTGCTCTTCTGTTGAACTATGATTCTTGCAAGCAAACCAGCTTTAGATTAGATACCATGAGCCTTCCTAATGCAATGTACTTTTAGCACATTTTTCACATTATTAAGCTGTGCCTAAGGGTAATAAATATTCTCAAGCAGGAGGAGTTTCTCCATATACCCAACGAGATGAGGGTTTAGGCATGTAGTAACCGGCTACTTATAAAGAACTGTGCAAACAGACTAAAATACAATCTAAAACAGAGCATATGGACAAGTACAGTATTCTGTGCTACCAGGGAAGGGGCTAGCCCTTGCCAGTGAGAATTGGAAGTGGTCTTTTCATTGAACAGAAGAAGCAGAGGAGTCCCTTGGTGCTGGAGATTTGTACTCACATGTTCCACAAGTGGGTTAAACTTGCTACTCTCCCAGTTCTCCTCTGACATCTACAGCATTATGGTTCCAAAGAGCAAGAACGTGCCCTGCAATAGAAGGGCAGCTGTTAAAAGATGCCCTGACAGATGTAACCTTTTGAAGTGGGAGGGCTCTCAGTAGTAAAGAACAAGTGAGTGAATGTTGATAAGCTGGGAGGGTACAAGGAAGTCAAGGACATACATGTGTATTCATGTACACCTGTGATCAGCCGGAAAGATAGCACAGCAAACATCCTTTCTCACCTACAAGGTTATGTTTTGAGTGATATTAATAATGATTGATCTTATCCATGTTTGCTTATATATATTTACACTCTGATAACCAATTCCATCCTGGCTACTTACTAGACAAATCATTCATTATGAGGACTTAAGATGGTACAGTTTCCAGAATTCTTTCCTACCCAGGTTGAGAACGATCATCTCACTCAAAGGTACTCAACCTCTAATAATATGCACACTGAGAACCAGCTGTGGCATGATGTCCTTTCATCCCTAAGTGTTTCAGATTAAAGCTCCTGAAAACGCTGACAGCCTTCTAGGAAAGAGCATTGCAAATTGTTAAGTCAGGAAATTAACATTGATACAAACTGCCATCTTATCTACAACCCTTATTGAGGTGTTGGCGATTGTTCCAAAGCAGTCTCTATTAGCAAAAGAAAATCCTAGAATCCTTAAAAAAAACCTCTTTATTAGAATATTTCGACATCATTGTAGATGTAATAAATGCCAGTGAGCTGTCCACTTAAGTTGTTAAAATGCTATGTTCTGGCCTATGTATATTTTACCACAATAAAAAAATTGATAATATATAAGGTACTCACATAGGATTTCAAAACCACCAATTCAGTGTCTTATTACAATATAATAGAAACAAATATCGAAGAATTCATAAGACACTGTGAGTTTTAATGTGTAAATGATTGGAAAGAGCAGCAAAACAAACTAAAATGTTGTGTGCAATAATTTCCCCCTTCGTAACTGGGGTGATCAAGCCCACTGTGGATGCAGGTGAATGACAGAGAGGCATGAGCAGTGCCTCCCCAGGCAACCCTCTTTCTGAGGTAGTGGAATATTTTATACATAGTCAACATTGAAAAAACTTCCCTCAGCTTGCATAGCAACTTCATTCCTAGAAAACCCCAGTATATAAAATTGCAGAAAGTACTTGTTTGTAAAGCTGAGGTGGGCTATAGGTTAAGAGAATCAAGAACAGGTTTTTCACTAACACCCTTGTCTGGTGAAGGATAAAGTGCCAAATCTTATTTCAAATCTTAGGGGGAACAAGCAAGCATTTCTGCCCCACCTCCTACTAGCCCCAAGTGCTACAAACAAACCTAGAACGAGCTCCTCTGTGACTCTTTGGCATTTGTTTATACAAATACAATTTATTTCTAACTCACATACTTAACATGCTGTTTCTCAAGTATTTTGTTTTTTCTTTTTATATGGATCCTAGAGGATCTGACTTGAAGGGGGCAGATAAAAGTGGGACCAGCACAAGTTTTGTGAAACTGGAAAGCACACATTGGGGTTCCAGAGTTAGATGGGTGCAGTCTTGCACCTGGGGGCTCCCTCTGTAGGAACCCTTCTGAAAGAACCCTGGGGGCTCCCTCCAAAAGAACCCTGGCTTTCTGAGTATTTTGCCTGCTGGGTTCTACATTGTAACCACCAATCCTTTAACATTTGGTGTTTATGTCTTCACCCTCTCCTCCCAGTGACTGTTCTAAACCATCCACTTAAATTGTTTTTTCATTTATGAGTTCGTTGTTCTTGGCACCGGGTTGATAATGACATTTTCATACAGGAGTGTATTACACATTCAACAAGCCCCCTCACCCCATCTTTGCATTCTTCCCTGGCCTTCCCCTCTCCCCACCAGTCAGTCCCTTCCTTCTTCCTACACAGTTTTGCTTCTACTTTCACGTCACATAGACAAACATGACTTAATGTATCTACATAAAATATAGGAACCACAAATAAGAGGAAAATATACAATATTTGTCTTTCTGAGACTGACTTAATTCGCTTAGTATGTTTTTCTCTAGTTGCATCCATTTTCAAAACACAACACAACTCTATTCTTTTTTTTTTTTTTTTTTTTTTTTTTTTTTTGTCTTTTTGAGATAGAGCCTCCTGTAGCCCCAGCTGGCCTCCTGAACTCACTATGTAGACCAGGATGGCCTTGAACTCACAGAGAGCCACCTGCCTCTGCCTCCTGAGTGCTGGGACTAAAAGCATGTGCCACCATGCCCAGCAACTCCATTTATCTTTATGAAAAAAATCCATTGTGAATATATACCACATTTTCTTTATCCATTCCTCTCTTATTGGCTACCTAGCTTGGTCCCATAACTTAGCTGTTGTGAAAGTGCTGCAGTAAACATTGATGTGCAGGTATATCTGTGATATGTTGACTTTGAGTCCTTTGGATAAATACTCAGAGGTGGTGCAGCTGGGTCCCATGGTAGATCTACTTTTAGTTTTTTGGAGAACCTCCATTTTTATTTCAATACTCCTTGGGCTAGTTTAATCCCCACCAGCAGTGTATCAGGATTCCTTTCTGTCCACATCTTCACATCATTCTTTATTTTCTTCATGACTGCCATTCTTAATGAGGTGAGCTGGAATCTCAATGCAGTTTTAATTCTCATTTCTCTGATGACCGATGAGGTTGAACATTTTTCACGTTTATTGGCCATTTGTACTTCATTAAGAATTGTTGACCTGGGGCTGGAGATATGGTTCAGCAGTTAAGTACACTTGTTGTTCTTCCAGAGGACCCAAGTTTGATTCCCAACGCCCACATAGTGGCTAGTAGCCATCTGTAACTCCAGTTTCAGGGAATCTGATGTCTTCTTCTGACCTCCACGGGCATTGCATGACATGGGTACATTTACATGTAACATGCAGGCAAAATACGCATACACAAAATAAAAATAATAAATAAAATATATATATACTTTTTTTTGTCTATTTGAGATAGGGACTCCCTGTAGCCCTAGCTGGCCTGGAACTCGCTATGTAAACTAGGATGGCCTCAAACTCACAAAGATTCACCTACCTCTGCCTCCCAAGTGCTGGGGTTAAAGGCGTGTGCCCAGCTTAAATAAAATATTTTTTAAATTAAAAAAAAAAAGAATTGTTGACACATTTTATTTCTCTATGTATTGATTGGGTTGTTTTATTTCTTGTCTAGCTTTATGAGTTCTTTGTATTTTTAGATTTAATGTACTGCCATATGTATAGCTAATGAACACTTTTTCCATTCTCTAGACTGTCTTTTCACTCAGCTGTTTCCTTTACAGTGCAGAAGCTTTTTAATTCCATGAGGACACATTTGTTCATTGTTGGCATTATTTCTTGAGTAACAGGAGTCCTATTCAGAAATTCAGATATAGGTCTGTACCTATATCTTGAAGTGCTTCCCCTGAGCATCCCTCTAACAGTTTCTGAGTTTCAGGTCTTACATTAAGGTCTATGATCCACTTGCAACTGATTTTTATACAGAGTGAGACATAGGGACCTAGCTTCACTTTTCTACATGTGGATATTCAGGTTTCCCAGCACCATTTGTTGAAGAGACTTTTTTTCTACAATGTGTATTTTTTGGCATCTTTATAAAAAAAAAATCAGGTGGCTGTAGTTGTGTGGGCTTATATCTGTGTTACTCTGTTCCACTGACCTGCATGTGTATTTTGTGCCAGTACCATGCTGTTTTTATTACTATAGCTCTGTAGTATAACTTGAAATCAGGTATGGTGATATTTAAAGCATTATTCATCTTGCCCAGGATTGCTTTGGGTATCTGGGATATTTTGTGTTTCCATATGACTTTTAAGATTGCTTTTTCTATTTCTTAAGGAACAGCATTAGAATTTTGATGAGGATTGCATTGAATCTGTAGATGGCAGGACAACCATTTTCACAATATTAATGCTTCCAATCCATGATCATGAGAGAGTTTTCCATCTTCCAGTGATGTCTTCCTTTTTTTTTTTCATCAATGTTTTAAAGTTTCCATTGTGGCGGTCTTTCATTTCCTTGGTTAAGCTTATTCCAAGGTAACTTTTTAGGCAGTTGTGAATGGAATTGTGTCTCTGATTTCTTTCTAGCATGTTAGCTATTGGTACATAGGAAGCCTACTGATTTTGTATGTTAATTTTGTGTCCTGTCACTTGGCTCGAAGTGTTTATTAGACCTCACAGCTTTCTTGTGGAGCTCTTAGGCTCTCTGACATATAGAATCACATCATCTGCAAATAAGGATCTTTTCGTGTCATCCTTTCCTATTTGTAACCCTTTTATTTTCTTCTTTTCTCATCTCTCTGGTGAAGACTTCAAGCACTACATTCAATAAGAGTGGACACAGTGGACACTCTTGTCTCATTCCCAATTGGCATAGCAAAATGTTTCAGACTCGCACTGGCCATGCCCTAGCCCTAGAGGTCTCCATTTTATAGGCAATCCCTAACTCCTTTAGGGGGGTTAAAAAGCCAAAGTCTGGATTCTAAGTACTTCTTGAGTTGTCTTTAATTCTTAGCTCTTCCAGTAAACTGAAGTTGGAAAACTATCCATATATCTGTCCATGTAACTGTATATGTTCATGCATATACATACGTAAAAACTCTGCTGCAACTATACCTAGACATACCTTTGAAGTCATGATTTCACACCGACTTCAATTACAATCCCTCTCCATAGAATATTCATTGCCTTCCCAAATTCTGCATATGTTCTTTACTTTACAATCAAAAATCCTGACTCCCCAAACCATAAACATGCATGTTTGTTTGTTTCCTCCTTAATACATCTTAAATAGTTCCCAAATTGTCTTACACATTGCCTCTTCAGCAAGTAAACCTCCCCGAATTGGGAGTTATTTGTGATTCTTCATCATGACACCAGCATAGCTAGCCAAATAGGATATCCTTCATTTTACTAAATTTGAGACTTCTAGAAGAGGAGGAGGAGGAGGAGGAGGAGGAAGAGGAGGAAGAAGAAGAGGATAAGGAGGAGGAGGAGGAGGGGAGGAGAAAGGAGGAGGAGAAAGAGGAGGAGGAGGAGTTACCCAGAAATGTTTACATTCATCTATAATCTATATTCATTATAGAAAAACCTCTCCTGGTTCAGCCATGGATCTAAATCTAGCCTACTGCTCTCTGAAGTGGATATCTACGGGGTATTTGGTGCTATATAATGCTAAGGTCCTTCAGTTGAAGTTCTGTTTCTCTCCACTTCTCTGATCTTGATGCCATGCAGATCTTGTAGATAAGGTTGAGTCTCTCCTGTGTCTTGTGTTATGGACTCCATGGATGTACCTTGACACACAATATTTTATCTTGGATATACTTACCTATCTAGTGTAGAAATTATGGAGGTTCACAAGCTATGCTATCAACACCACTATCTTTCCAGAATGATTTCTCTATATTTCCAGGTATTCCTATTATATATCATCAAGTAAGATCCTAGCATAGCCATATTAAAAAGGTGTTTAACAATCTGACCTTCAGAGACACACTGAACAGATGAGTCCAAAGATTACTACTTACTGTCTGGGTTCTATCAAGCCAAATCTCTGTCTCACTTAATTTCCTGAAACTCAACATGATTATAATAACAACACCTACTTTATAGGCAGTTTGGGAAAATAAAGAACGGTATAAATTCTTTCAAGGTTTAAAGGTATAGCTAACTCTTTGGCAGTTTAAGCATTTCCAAAATAATGTCTCATTCATTTCTTGAAACAGAACAACCCCTTATAAAATTATAATAAAAGTGTGTGTGTGTGTGTGTGAGAGAGAGAGAGAGAGAGAGAGAGCATCCTTATTGACAAACAAGAGTGAATACTAATTTTAGGGACTTGGAAGATGGCTCATAAGGTAAGAGTGCTTGCTATGCAAGCATGAGGGCCTGAGCCCAAATCCAGCACCAATTAAGAAGTCAGGACTGGGGCTGGAGAGATGGTTCACAGTTAAGAACACTGGCTGTTCTTGCAGAAGACCCAGTTCAAATCCCAGCACCCACATGGCAGCTAACAACTGTCCATAACTCCAGTTCCAGGGGATCTGACAGCCTCTTCTATCCTCCATGGGCATTGCATGACACGGGTGCCCTTACCTACATGCAGGTAATACATGCATACACATAAAATAAAAATAATAAATAAATAAAATATTTTTTTGAAAAAAGAAGCCAGGCCTTGTACATGCCTGTAACTCCAAGTGCTTGGGGGATGGGAAGGTGGAAACAGGAGGATCAGTAGGATAGCTGGCCGCCAGCCTCGCTCCAGGTTCACTGAAAGATCCTGTCTTAAGGGAATAAGGTGGAAAGAGATAAAGCAGGACACCTGACATCTCCCTCTGGCCTCCATGCATGTACAGGTACATGTACACATGTATGGCACACACACATACACCATGCATGTACACCACACACATTAAAAAGAAGAACGTGAGAGAGAGAGAGAGAGAGAGAGAGAGAGAGAGAGAGAGTGCACATGCATGCATATGGAGTTATCCCAGGAGTTTCAGGCTAGCCTTGGCACGATAGCAAGACATTCCAAAGAAAGGCGAGGAAGAGGAGGAGGAGGAGGAGGAGGTGGAGGAGGAGTCCAGAAATGTTTGCATTCATCCAATATTCATTAGAGCAAAACCTCTTCTGGTTCCAGTCATGAATTCTAAAAGGTATATATTTTAGGATTTATATATATATATATATATATCACCATCATAATCAGAGGTTCCCATAAGCAATTATTGAGCATCTCTAAACCTCACAGAAAAGGTTCTCAGACCATGTCACCTCAATTTCAAGTGTCTGAATGGAGCAACTGATAAACTGCTATGAAGATAAACAGTGAGCAAAAATGGCTGTTTGAGCCGTCCTGGCAGAATTTATTATCATGAGAATGTTTGTACAGTCTTCAAAACGACTAGGTTTACCAGGAAGAGGGTGGGCATGTGAGCACTGGGAAAGAGAAACCAGAGTCCTGAAAGGCTTGCTTCCTCCCCATCCTGGCTGTTCCCTTTCTAGTCAAACATATTTTCTGGAGCCATATTCATCAAGCTGGCTTTCGGACTGGACCTCTATCTGGCGATCTTCATCCTCCTGGCCATCACTGCTGTTTTCACCATCACTGGTGAGTCTGCTGTGTGCTTTGCTCAGTTGCAATGCTGTCTGCTGATCCGCCCATAATGTACATGAGTGTCTGTGTGTATATCACACTGAATAGTCGATGACTAAATCTGATATTCAGTAACGAAACAAGGACAAATTTCCACACTAAAGTAAAAACCGGTATTGCTAGATGGCCTTGTACAGGTAACTGCTAAAGAAAATTTCATGATATTAAACTTTGCCTTTTCTCCTACTTAATATTTTAAAAGAAATACAATGAAAGTTTAGAAGAGGTAAAAGATCCATGTATGTTGGCATGTGCCTGTAATCCCAGCACTCTGGGCTATAGAGCAAGGGAAAGAAAGAAAAGAAAGAAAGAAAGAAAGAAAGAAAGAAAGAAAGAAAGAAAGAAAGAAAGAAAGAAAGAAAAAAAGAAAGAAAGAAAGAAAGAAAGAAGAAAGGAAGGAAGGAAGAAGGAGGGAGGACGGGGGAGGGGAAGGAAGGGAAGGGAAGAAGAGAGGGAGAGAGGAAGGGAAAGGGAGGGGAGAGGGAGGGGAGGGAGGGGGAAGGGAAGGGAAGGGGAAGGAAAGGAGGGAGGGAGGGAGTGAATGAGAAGGAAGGGAAGGAAAAAAGAAAAGAACAAAAGAAAGAACAAGCAAAGGGAAACAGGAGAGCAAAGGAAAGCCACAGCACTAGGGAGACTAAGGTGTGAGAGCAAGCCTGTGTAGGCAGGTGCAGTGGCCGACGCTTGCAATCCCAGCAACTGGGAGACTGAGGTGACTTGCCAGAAGTTCAAAGCCAACCTGGGCTACATAATGAGCTCCAGGCCAGCCTTGGGTAAAGAACAAGACCCTGTCTCAGAGCCAAAAGACAAGCTTGTGACTCAACCAGGAGCTTTTTCATTTCCTTGGTTTGTTTAGCTAAAAAAAAAAATTTTAATTTCTAGTCCCAGCATTCCAGAGACAAAGGAGATGGATCTCTGTGAGATCAAGACCAGTCTGGTCTATATAGTGAGTTCCAGGCCAACTGAGGCTACAGGAAGACCCTGTCTCAAAAAGACAAAAAAATTAAATTAAATTAAAAAATAAAAATCTCGCTAAGTTACCCAGGCTGGTCCTGAACTCACTCTGTGGCATAAGCTGACCTAGACTTTACAATCTTCCTGCTTCAGCCTCCCCAGTGGCTGGAATTACAGGCCTGCTTCTCCAGGTCTGGTACCCAGGAGCTTTTGACGTTTCTTCCTGAGTCGTTTATGCTATTTGGGTGGAAGAGAGCCCAGCTGTGATGACTAGTGCATGAGTGCCAGTGGATAAAACAGGGTTCTTCTCTTCTCTTCACAGGGGGCTTGGCCTCTGTGATTTACACAGACACGATCCAGGCCATCATCATGCTCATTGGATCTTTTATTCTCATGGTGTTTGGTAAGTGACGATGCCGTGCACCAAGCCCTGGATACTTGTCTGTCTGTCTGCTCTTTATTGCTGCTTTCCAGCTCTACTGGGTCACATTTTCCTATCATTACATAGCCCCCATCATGGAAATGTTTGTCTTGCTTCTTTCTTGCTTTATTAGGCCAGCAAAAGGAATTTTTTAATTTTAAAATATTATGCAAATTTCTTGTTTGAGCCTTGTGCTCAAAATCATCAAAACCATTATCTTTTGGTTGATAACTTTATAGATATATTGGTGCATTATATTGAAAGCATAAAAATCTTTGATTTCTGTAGAATTTTCATTAAAAAGAGGATTAAATATTGGAAAAACTCAGATAACTATTAACCAAGTTGTGTCTATTTTATATAGCAATCAATTAAAATATACTATTCAATCCAGTTAGATACATGGCTTGGATTCTCCTTATGACTCACTGTATCCTCACTTCATTCTCTTGTCATGATGGCAAACAATGGTAAGGACTCAACTGTAAATTTGCATTTTCTTCTATGGGTATTTATCTTTGCTTAGATAATCCCCCACTGCAGTAAAAAGACAAGAAAATAAACATCTCTCCTTGGTTCTGTAATCACCATGTTCCATCCAATAATCTGCACTAGAGCAACCCTGGATGTCCATGTTCCTGATCACATAGTTTGAAATACACGAAGTAAAAACAGAAAGCACAAGGAATCCATAATGGCTGTAGGTAACCTCAACACAGGCTGGATACCGTTAGTCATCCGTGGCTGCCAAATTAAACTCAGTTCTTTTGCCTAGCTAAATTTCAAAGGTCTAGTGGAATACTCGTGACTGCCATCTTACCTCAGACAACACAAATTCAAGCAATTCCTCCATTGCAGACAGTTTCTGTTGCACAGTACTGCTCCGGAGGCCACAGCCAGAAGTAGTGCCTCCTGTACATTATGTAGTTATCAGAAACTGCTGTGCTACTGCTGTTCCTTGTTCTTGGATCTCTCAGGGTCCTCCATATATTTTTGTTATAAACCATATTAACCTGATAAAAGCAGTTTCCTTCTGTGTCTGCACCCTCCCCTGGCCTACTCATTTTGCACATGATCCCAGCACAATTTTTGGCAATTATATGTACTCAATTTAATAATGAAAAGGTGAAGGACTATCAATTCAGCTCCACAATTGTATAATAGTCTGATGAATTTTGCATCATTGTGGGGAGTCAAGTTCAGAGGCCAGAGATGGTGGGTCTCAAGGAGCCAGGATATTAAAGAAGATTCTTGGAGCCACTGGCAAATGCAAACTTTATTTTCTCCAGGTGAGACCATGCACCCTTGGTCCTAAGGACTTTTTTTTTTTTTTTTTTTTTTTTTTTTTTTTTTTTTTTTAAAAAAAAAAAAAAAAAAAAAAAAATTCAGCTATGTAGACCAAGATGGCCTCAATCTCACAGTGATTTGCCTGCCTCTGCCTCCTGCGTACTGGAATTAAAAATGTACACCACCACACCTGGCTTCCCAGAGCATTTTCTTTTTAATGTGTATGTGTTACACAAGTGCACCTGTGTCGTGCAGCGCCCACAGAGGATGGAAGAGGGCATCAGATCCCCTGGAACTAGAGTTACAGACAGTCATTAGCCTCCATGTGGGTGCTGGGATTCAAACCCAGGACTTCTGCAAGAACATCTAGTGCTCTTAACCACTGAGCCATTTCTTCAGCCTCCCAAGGGCATTTTATAGGAAATCACACAAACGTGGTTTCTTTGCAAAACTGGCTATATAATGAGTTACATAACAGCCATGTTTACTGTTTACTTATAGTTCCCTGGATGTCCAGTAGTGGCCATCATAACTGTCATCTTGGAAGTCACCAACATCACCATATAATGTAAACTTTTATCTGGCTCTCACAGCCTTTGTTCCCTTCATTCATCTGAGCTTGAACTCAGTGACTCTGGCCTTGAACTCACAAAGATCCGTCTGCCTCTGCCTCCCCAGTGCTGAGATTAAAGGCGTGCACCACCACGCCTGGCCTTCTAATATCAATTTTAATTCCTGTTTACACCTGACTAGCCGCTTCAGACTTATAGTGGTCTCTGTCTCACCATTTTCTCCTCATCCTCTAACCTGCTGCCTTTAACTCCTCTCCTCTTTCCATTTGTTTTTAAATATTACAATTAGAATATGGTGTGTGACACCAGAAAATCAGATGTGCCTAAGATCAGAACAGCCAGGCTCTGAGTCAGGAAGAGAGGCCATTGCTTGCTCTTCTTTCCAAAATGTTGGGGCTTCTGATAGCTAATTCCATCAGGGTTGCTCCATTAACTTCCCATCAAGCTTGCTTCAGCTGTGGGTGGTTGTGAGACACCAATGTCAGTCTGTTGCTTCAAAAACATCAGTTGTATCAGATGTGGATAAGACATGTCTTTTTTTTTTGGTCTTTTTGGGACAGGGTCTCCCTGTAGCCCCAGCTGTTCTGGAATTCACTATGTAGACCAGGCTGTCCTCAAACTCACAGAGATCCACCTGCCTCTGCCTCCCTAGTGCTGGGATTAAAGGCGTGCGCCACCATGCCTGGCTAAGACGTCATTTTATCCGATACATTTTCAGCATTTATTGAAGTTGGGGGCTACGAGAGCTTTACAGAGAAGTACATGAATGCCATCCCCTCTGTAGTCGAAGGGGACAACCTGACAATCAGCCCCAAGTGCTACACTCCTCAGCCAGACTCCTTCCACATTTTCCGAGATGCTGTCACTGGAGATATTCCATGGCCAGGAACTGCGTTTGGAATGCTCATTACAGCTATGTGGTACTGGTGCACGGATCAGGTAGGTAAATAAGCATGTGTGTGTGTGTGTGTGTGTGCATTTCTTTTAATTGTTATGTACTTGCACATATTTTTCCTCATTTGTGTTCTTGTTCCTCCTCATCTCATAGAAAAGCATCTAGCTAGGGGTTGGAGAAATGGCTCAGCGGTTAAGAACACTGGTTGTTCTTGCAGAAGACCCGGGTTCGAATCCCAGCACCCACATAGCAGCTAACAACTGTCCATAACTCCAGTTCCAAGGGATCCGACAGCTTCTTCTGACCTCCACAGGCATTGCATAACACGGGTGCACTTACCTACACACAGGCGATACATGCATACACAGAAAATAAAAATAAAGAAAAGCATCTAGCGTCTGCTTTATATACACAAATATCATCTACAGAGCCAGACATTTCTACAAGGCTGATTATGAAACGAGCTGCCTGATGGCGTCCTACTCTGTATCATGTCTTTCAGAGGCAAACACGACGGCTTTTTCATCTAAGTATTTTCCTATTTATTGCCGTTCTCTGAATCCTTGCACCTAAAGAATGATCTTTGAACCATGAGCATGGACATTATTGCAGACCCCACTAGGCACAAACGCTCTCACACTCTACCCAGGCACATTGTAACGGAATTTGCGCGCTAACTTGATCCCCACGTGATTCAAATAACCGCGCGCGCTAACTTGATCCCCACGTGATTCAAATAACCGCGCTTCCTCCTGGTTTTCTTTTTGGCCTTGCCCCTTCCCCACCACGGTGAGAGATGACAGTCCGCTCTTCCACTTTTCCACCCCCAATCCCATACAAGCAAGTTTCCAGTTTTCCCATCTTCCCAATGAAATCACAGTTTGGGGAGATCAGCGTTCAGGGTTACCATTTTTATGCCACATGAAAGTAACTCCCACAAGGCCCTGTCATGCTCTGACTGATTCTTTGGCTTTCTTTTTTACAGGAAATTAATCATTCTTTAGTTTTCTTTTCTTTTCCCTCCAATCTTACTTTATATAATTGGGTGGATATAAATTAATACACAGAAATTAAGCAAGATGCATGTAACAATTTAACAGAATCTGATCATCTAATTTCTTTCAATATTCTCAAATTTATCAAGTCTATCATGAGGCTCATAAGAATATTAAAGGACACATGAACATGAGAGCCTGACATCAAACTAAGTATACTTTAAATTCTTCCCTAATTCAATTGTGAAGGCCCTGTATTTTGTATGCAGAAAGGTGTTGGGGTCAAATATTCAACGCAATGTAAAATAAGAAGCATTTCTAATTCGTTAGGTAGAGACTAGTCCTTTTGCTAATGAGTTTTAGCTGTGAGACCCTGAACTGAACAAAAGAAAAAGGTAACACATGCTTAATGGATAAAACATTACCATATCTTTACTAAGACCATCTCCACCTTGAACGTTTCAGAAGCTTAGAATATTAGAATATTCTTACATTAATTGCAAGAGAAAGGAATACATTCCTTTTTTAAGATCATAATTATGAAGCCCTGTAGCTATGCAAATTCTGCTGCATTTGCGTAAAAATGAGACACACCTTTGTTCTTGTCAGTCACCTAGCAGGACTTAACAGATGCCTTTCCAAGAAATAGAATCTGGGATGCATTTGTATAACTTCAATAACCTCAGTAACTAGAGATACAGTGTTCTTTTACTATGGTTAAGAACAGACAAGTAGAAAAAGAATCAAAATTACGACAACCGTGAAACTACTTGTCACGTTTCATCATGGTGCCACCTTTATTTTTACATAAGCTTGGTGGCATATGTGAAGCTCTACCTACCAGAAATCCTATTTAAAATTTATCTTCACCTTCACTTACTGCTGTATTAACACCCAATACAATTATAGAAAATACATAAGAAAGGAAATCATTAAACCTGCTTTACTAGAGCTGGGTTCTTGACATAACATTTTTGTTTGTGTTGTTTGTTTGTTTGTTTGGGGTTTTTGAGACTGGGTCTCCCTGTAGTCCCAACTGGCCTGGAACTCGATATATAGACCAGGCTAGCCTCAATCTCTCAGAGATCCACCTGCCTCTATCTCCTGAGTGCCAGAACTAAAGGCATGTACCACCACGCCTGGCATAACTCTTTTTTAAATTATTTATTTAATAACCACATAATTAGAAGAAGCATTTCATTACAAAAGCATTGACATATTCAATAACAATTTCCAGAGCTAAAATGCATCTCTTTCAAAATTGGCTGTAAATTTTTAGGTTTACGGTTGAATTAATACATAACTCATTTTTAATAGAAAAGGTATAGCACATCTCAGTTCGCCTACAAGCTGGGAAGTCACTTTGAATTCTGCATTTTCTAACTGTAAACAGAATATAGCACTTATAACAGGTTATAAATGAACTGATTTTCAGTCCCAATGATCATAATGTTATTTTGGAACTCAAAGCAATGAACTCCATTTCCAATCAGAAAAAAATATGAAAACAAGCTTAAGTTATTTTTGTGCAAATGTTATGTTGAGTTTTTAACATAAACCTTGACTCAAATGCCAATAACTTCAAAAAGAAGTTGACTGAAGGAAAGAAGAAAATTATTTCATTTAGGAAACATAATTACTATCTTTTTCGTAATCGTGTTCACACACAGTATAAACATGTATAACTGCGATTCTTTTCTTTTTAGAAGAAGCATTTCATTACAACTTTAACATACTCATTAACAGTTTCCAGAGCAAAGATATATCTGTTTCAAAAGTGGCTATAAAATTTTTAGGTTCACTGTTGAATTAATTCAACTATACAATATTGAACTCAGTACAAGCCCTGTAAGACATAAAATTGAATGAACTTTTAACCTTTAAAAAAGATCACTATTTCATTTTAAAATATACTGTTTCTTACAGAAAGACTCATTGTTTTTGCTCATAACACTGGGATGTTGGTGCATGCATCTCTAATCTGTATGTATCTGATTATTACTGGTCATAATTGGTTGCACTCAGATCCTTGGCACCTGTGTATTTCATTGAGTAGATTGGGTAGATTGACCTGTGTATGTCATCGGGTAGTGCATAATCGGTTGAACTCAGATCCTTGGCACCTGTATAAAGTCATTGGGTAGATTTCAATGGTAATGTTTATCACCTCTACTAATTAACATGATGTAAATTTTTATGCTTCCTCCTCAAATATAATTCATTTTATCAATTTGTTGGGGTTTTGTGTTTGTGTGTGTGTGTGTGTGTGTGTGTGTGTGTGTGTGTGAGAGAGAGAGAGAGAGAGGCTTATTCAACTGCACACCCACTTCCCATGTGGCACCCTCCCATAGCCTCCCTCCCCCAACTAGAGCCCTTATACTCTGT